CCCCTCCCCCGGCTGAGGGGTCCGATGACTCCGATCCAGCCCTCGCAGCTGCTGTCATATACCTTTTCTTCTTTCCTCGGATGGATGGCCTGCAAAACGTGCCTGCCTTTTCCTCCTCTTAGATAATTTGCGTTCAGTTTTTTTTTTTTTTAACTTTATTTATTTATTTATATATTTATTTGTTTTTGTTTCCCAGCTACAGTTTATCTATGCAATCACAGCTATTTTCAAAAGATAATAGACTCACCATTTTTGGCATTTGTTGTTTTCAAGTTAGTAGAGAGAGGCCCTTTTTACACAAAGGAGGCCGTGAACAGTTACCAGCAAGAGGGCCACAGCTTTCTAGCCTTACAAAAGCATCCGTAATGGGTTTCAGAGGGGTTTAAGAAGGTTTCAAGAGGGGTTTAAGAGAGGTTTAGGAGCAGTTTCAGAGGGTTCGGGAGGGGTTTAAGAGGGGATGGAGAGAGGTTTAGGAGGGGTTTAGGACGGACTCAAGATGGGTTTAGGAGTTTAATATGAGCTAAGAGTGCTTAGAGTGGTTTTGGAGGGGCTTAGGATAACTTTAAGAGGGGTTTAAACCACAAGTACACGGCCCCAGCCGTGCACTCCGAAATTTGTCGCCACAAGAAAACGAGGCGAAAACATCAAACGCTGGGCCCACCCTTGATAAATTCAATCGGTGGTCGCGTTTTTGTTTCGCGCCTCCAGAATTTGAGGTGTGGGCACTGGTGTTCTAAGAGGGTTCAGGAGGGGTTTAAGAACGGATTGAGAGGGGTTTAGGAGGGGTTTAGGTCGGATTCAAGATGGGTTTGGGAGTTTAAGATGGGCTAAGAGTGGTTTGGGACGGGTTTAGCAGAAGTTTAATAAGGGTTTGGTAAGGGTTTAAGAGGGGTTTAAAAGGGGTTTAAGAGGGGTTGAGGAGGGGGTTAGGAGGGGGTTAGGCCGTACATCAAGGGGACGAGAGGGGGAGGACCCCACAAATCTTTCATCAGTCATCAGACCTGCGTGGTTCCATCTGACTGCTGATAACTTCCAGGAATGGCGGGCCAGTTCAACATTAAACAGAGCCGCGGAAGACCGCTTTCACCCGAATCGAACGCATAGTCATTATATTTGTATCTAGTCTGAAAGTTGGCCCCAATAGAGCAATAACGTCGGCGTGTTCTATTCGGGTGAAGATGGGAGTCTCACATTGATTACTGCAGCAGCGGGTGAATCCCAATCGTTTCTTCTTTTTTTAATAACATCTGTTGCGGCACCCCGAGTACAGACAGGGATAAAAGCCCATGACTGTTGTAGGGACGCCCGCCGTAGATGGCTGTGATGTTATTCGTGGAAAGCGGCACGCGCTGCCTAATCCTGTATCAGCAGATGTTCGTTGTTTCTTCTTCTTCTTCTTCTTCTTTTTTAAATAAATTTGGACCATTTCTCGATTTATGCGTGCCATCCTTGCACAGGGGTGATGCTACTCACCCTTCTCTGTATCATTCCAAGTTTAACGGATGTCCAAAGGACTTGTTCATTGTTTTCTCCTTCGCCGTTTTCGTTGTTGTTCAAGTAATTATAAGGCGCCGTTTTCGTTGTTGTTCAAGTAGTTATAAGGGTGATATTCCCTAAGATCATTGCATACCTTTCTCGGTCTTTTGGCTGAAAATAGATCAAGTGTAGGATCTGTTCTGATCAGTTTACAAAAACGGGGGAAAACAAATATCCTGTGCCGAGTCTGCCGACAGAGCACCCACATTTCCCTCTCGCGCTTGCACATCATGCAACACAGTGGGCGAGCAGCACATAAGCGGATGTTGTCCGTTCCGTCGGACGCATGGCGCGGCAGCCGCGGACTGCTCCCACATCTGCGCAACAGCGCAGGAGTCACGTGTTTCCCCGTACACAACACACCATCGAGCACATGTCCCGAAGGTGATTACTTCGGTCTGGGAGGTTGTTTGTGATTACTTCTATGGAAGGAGGATGGTTGCGTTTGTCCTTTGGGGCATCCGTTAAAATTGGAATGACGATACTGAGAAACAAGATTAGCATCATTGTCCCCTGCGCATTCAAGGATGATATGCATAAATCTAGCAGGGGTCCACATCTACTTATTTAAAAAACATAAAACCGATGGTTGTGTGCATGTAGCTCTGCCTGTCTGCATGGTTCAGGCGTTGGAAAAATGCAGTCCTCTGCAGGTCAGAGGCCACGAAGATGTCCCGAACACCTACTGCTGCCACGTGCCCGACATAACTAACTGATTAATTGAATTTAATTCATTATGTAATTCATTGCTCTATTAATTAGCCACATAGGGTGGCGGGGTGATTGCCATTTTTAATGATTACTAAATTTATTAGTGGAAGCCGAATCGTGCACCACCATAAAAAGTATTAAAATTTAAAAGCGATTACTGAATTCCACAGTGGCAAAAGACCTGCCACGTCACCGATGATGCAGGCCACTACATGGCAGGTCACTGTGCTCACAAGTACCTAATCAGGCTCAGCGTTCAGTCATTCCTATCTAATCAGAGATGGCTGCGATTGATGGCGAAGGTAGGGGAAGGGAAGTGACGTCGCTTTGGGGTGTCAATGTACATTCTGCCAGGGTCGTTCTTGCCGCTGCAAAATGCAAGGAGCATACGTGGGTGATTTGTTCCCTCTCCCCCCCTCCCCCCTCTCCCCGTTAACATCATCGTGTCTCTACAAGTCCGTCAATTTTTTTTTTGAAATTGATTCCGTGAAAGATTTGTGACCTCGAGCTGTTCATCAACAGTCATGGGCTCCGCTCCACTGCACAGAAATCTGAATGTATTTCGATTGTGTAATGGACCCGATATATTCAAAATGTCAGATGTCCAAATTTAACTGGCTTGTAATGGCGTCCAGATATCGACGTACCGTGAGGGAACTCGGTCCAAATTCAACAGGCCCATAATGGCCTCCAGGTATTGACTTACCGTGAGGGCACGGGTGCACAGCCTGTGGTTTGGGGAGTGCGTGTGTGTGTGTGTGTGTGTGTGTGTGTGTGTGTGTGTGTGTGTGTGTG